CTCTATATTTGAACTTTGGGCCCGCTAATAATTCTTCTAGAATTAACTGACATGCTAATAATTCAAGAGGGTATAACGCGGTGAAATACCGCGCTATACGTAAAAGTTGGGCCCACTGCCAATCTTATGAACTTAATTGACAGACCAATAATTCAACTAGGTATAGCATGCATATATAATGTGCTATACATCAATTTTTTCCTTATTTAAAGAGTTTCAGGAGGATTTTGTAAAAATCCATTCAGAATCCTTCAAGTCTTCCGAAATATTTGTTCGTTAAGTTATTTTGCATTTTGTCATAATGTCTGAAGAGCGAAGAATTAGGGTTTCATTATATTGTGGGGGTGAGGTTGTGATGGAGAATAACTCAGTACACTATAGTTGTTCTCCATAGTGTCATGTTAATTTGCCACTTACAATGGAGTACGATACATTGGTATCATTGTTATGTAAAAAAAATGAGTGTGAGCAAACATTTGGTGAATATTAAAGTAACCAAAAGATATCCGTATTCTTTTACTCCGCAAGGGGTTGCTTGTTATGCTGAGTTTAACATTGAAGACGATGAAACTTTAAAAGATTTTTTGAGGACTCTAGATGAATATCGGGAATATCTTGTGATAAAAATGTTGAAAATGTACGTTAAGGCTGAATACATTTGCAATAATGAGGTTCCGCAAAGTAGGGATATCCCTTAATCATCGGGTGGTTATTTTGGAGCAGTTTTAGCCAAACAGGTTCCGGGTGAAAGAGTTTGGCCTGATCTAAACTTATCTCCACGGGCGAATGAGGAGCGAGGAAATAATTTCTCCCCTAGTTTACTTAATCCACAAGCTGAGTGGTAAACTTCAATTTTCCTTTGTGTTACGATGTTTATTTTTATGTAATGAATTTGTATTAAAACTCATATATTCCACAAGAGGTACCGACCAGATATGAATTTTACAATTTATGAACCTACGCCCAGTTGGAATATGCCTAGTTTTGGTGTGTTGGATCATGGTGGTTCATCCGGGAGTCATCATCAATAGGATAATGTCCATCATGGGATATCAACACATTATGATTTGTAAATGAAGTGATAAAGCTATATGTAAAGTTTGGATCAATTTGAGATTCATTATTTTATTGGTTATGCAGTGAAAACGAGCAACTTGAAGGTCCTTTCCTTACTCAATTTCCCGAAGATGACATATTTAATCGGGATCTGGCAGATGCGCAGAGTCAGGAAGAGAATAGTGATTATGATAACAATGCTGATGAGTCTGGAGATGATACACCCTTCCCTGATGAGTGTGATAATGAGGAGGAAGAGAATGCTGAACCTGATTTGACGAGGGAGCATGCTCCACCTCCCGTTAGACCAAGAGTGTACGAGTCCCACATGCCGTTTCATTCAAGAGAGATTCCCTACCTTGATCAGTTGCCAAGTATGCCGGATGTGGATGCCCTCACAAGGGATCTTGATGAAATTCGGACAGTAATGTGGGATGAATCTAGAGAAACGGTACTGTCAAAGGGCATGCTTTTTGCTAATAAAGCGCGCCTACACAGGGCGGTGCGAATGTACAACATAAAAGAGCATCGTAAAATCGTGGTTCATGAGTTATCTCCGGATGTATATAAGGTTATTTGTCGTAAATGGTTATGGGTTGTGGGTAAACATGTGGGTTGTGGGTGCGAGGAAGCTGGAAAACAATATGTGGGTTGTGGGTAAATACATTGGCACCCACAATTGTGAAATGGACACATTCAGTGGGAATCATTTTAACTTGAATGTTGACTTGATTTCTCTTGTCTTGATTCCACACATTGAAGCGTCCATAAGGTATAATATTAAAGAGTGTATAACATCTGTCCACAAGGTATATGGGTGTACTATTACCAAGAGAAAGGCATTTCTCGGGCGCAAATGTGCGTTTGAAATTGTTTATGGTAACTGGGATAAGTCATTTGCATCTCTACCCGGGTATATGGCCGCATTGCAACACTTTAACCCCGGGACTATTGTTGAATGGAAGCTTGAGCGGAGTCCGAGAATACCAGAACACATATTCAGATATGTGTTCTGGGCATTTAAACCAGCCATTGATGGTTTTGTGCATTGTCGGCCGGTAATATCCATAGACGACACCCATATCTATGGAAAGTATGATATTAAGTTGTTGATCGCCATTGCAGTAGATGCTAATGGAAGTATATTTCCTCTAGCATTTGCTATTTGTGCCAATGAAAGCCAAGAGACGTGGACATTATTTTTGAACCACTTGAAGGAGCAGGTTGTCAGACAACGTTAAGGTATTTGTCTAATATCGGATCGTCATGGCAGTATTTTAAGTTCTGTACAGAATTTGCGTGCATGGCAGGAACCGTATACCTACCACCGTTACTGTGTGATACACATGAAGGCCAACTTCTATAGGGCTCATCCGAATAAGGACTTGCATGATTTAATGTGAATGGCTTCTACAGAGCACCAAGAGTGTAAATTCAGGAGGCGAATGGAATTGATCAGGCAGGAAGACCAAGGAGCCTATACTTGGTTGATGCGACATGAGCTTGACAAGTGGACTTTGCATGCGGATGGTGGCAGAAGATGGAGAATTCTGACTGCAAATGTGTTAGAGATTTCAACGGGTTATTGAAGTATGCACGTGGATTCCCTGTCACTACCATGGTGCGGATGTCATTCAAGATGATGGCGGAGAGGTTTGTTGAAAGGTCTAGAGCTACATCTTTATTGATCGAAAGGGGTGTTGAATTCATGCCAATACCAATGAAAAGATTTGAGAAATATAGGAAGCGAGCACAGTGACATTCAATTTTGCAATATTGCAATGAGCGAAATATTTTTGAAGTTCGCACCGCTATCCATCACCACCGGGGGAATAATACACACACCGTCAATGAAGCCAGAAGGTTATGCTCCTGTGGTAAATGGTCCATCTATCACATGTCATGGTCACACGCCATTAAGTGCTTTCAACTTACAGGTTTCGCGACAATGATATACATTGATAAAGAATATAGTGTTGCTGTATAATTAAACACCTATAGCGGACAGCTGCAGCCAGTGGGTGCTAAGCATTATTGGCTGCCAGAACCATCTAAAATGGTGTGTAACCAGGAGTATGTGCGTCAACGACAAGTGCAGAAAAGAACACGTATACAGAACCAAATGGATGTTAGTGATACCATTTATGCGCGTAAATGTGGCATATGTTCCCAAACAGGACACGACCGCCGTAAATGTCCTTCAGTTGGTTTGGGTAGCGGTGGTAATTCAGCTCCCGGTGGAAGTTCATCCAATGTGCCAATTTAAATGTATGTAAATGTTCAGTTTGTAAAATGTATGAAATAAAATTATGATTCCAATGGGGTTAAATCCAATTGATATTTAGCATTATTACCTCAGTACAACAATTTAACATACATCCCAAGAAAAAGAAATAGTAGTCATTTGCCGTTATCGTCGCTGTCTGGCACGATTTCAATGTCACTGTCTTCATCTTCTTCGTGAACATCGTGTACGCACCCTTCGGGACCGAGGGCATCGTAATCTAGGCCCCAATTGACACACATTTCTCGTATTTCATCGCTATCATCAATAAGACCACTTGCTTGATTTCTACAAGAATATGGGACTCCGACGTCCAACGTCTGTGGTAGAAACTTAGGTAGTCCCTCCTACTCGACAACTATTGGGAAAACATGATAATCATTGTCTCTTTGCAATTTTTCATTTTTGAATAAATCCCAGTACTAATCCTCCGTTATTCCCAGGCAGTTAAGATCATCCATTGCATGATGAACAGCTAGTGGATTTTCCATCTATAGAATCATTATCATGCCAAACATATTATGCCACCAAAGGGCGTTATGTGTATTGTCTTATCGACCTGAAAAGCTGTATTGTACCCTAAAGAATCATTATCATGCGAAACATAGCGCGCCCACCAAAGGGCGTTATGTGTATTGTCTTGTTGACCTGAAAAGCTACCGTTCTGGAAAAGCTGTATTGTACCATAAAGAATCATTATCACGCGATACATAGCGCGCCACCAAAGGGCGTTATATGTACTGTCTTGTCGACCTGAAAAAGTTGATGTTCTGCAAAAGCTGTCTTATACCCTAAAGAATCATTATCACTCGCTTCATAGCGCGCCACCATAGGGCGTTATGTGTATTGTCTTGTCGACCTGAAAAAGCTGATGTTCTGAAAAAACTGTCTTGTACCCTAAAGAATCATTATTACGCGAAACATAGTGTGCCACCAAAAGGCGTTATGTGTAGTATCTTGCCTATAAAAGCCTAGTGCATTTTTGTTATTATTTGCGCTTAACCAAAACAAATAGAAAACCATTCCATAAAATTTTCATTATTCTTGCATTAAGAAATGTCTGGACGCAATGACGTACCAAGGTGTTATTGCGGCAAACGTGCGATTTTGAAGCCATGTTGGTCATATAGTAATATGGGGTGCAGACGCTGGATATGTCAACAACATGTAAGTTATTATTTTGGAAAAAGAGTTTGTTAATATTTTTTATATAACATGTTAACTAATAGTGTTGTGTTATAATCCCCATTGGTAGGACAGAAATCAATGTAGATTTGAAGAATGGTATGATGAACCCATTAACAAGGAATACTACAAATCATGTTTGTAGTATGTTTGGAATATGATCGGTGAATACGTACTCCAGATCTTTAAACTACAATAACAACTTGCGGCAGTACAGGAGAAACTAAAAGAGGCAGAAGAAGAAAAAAATAGGTTGGAAGAGCAATTTAAGTGGTTGAAGCACGGAATAATAGGCGATAGTAACTAAACAAACACATGGATGTGTTGAGTGTAGTATTTTATCTTTATGTTTTACGTGTCATGTATTTTCATTAATTGTACCGAATTTAAATTATGTTAAGTTGTTGTTTTTGTTTTTGTGTTGTAGTATTTAACTAATAAATAACCCGAGAAATATAAACACATACGCAAATAATGTAAAACATAAATAATGTTGCTAATATATACTGAATGTCATATGTACAGATAATAAAAAATGCCAATGTGTCCCACAGCCTGTATGCTTTAAAGCATTGGCTGGCCTGAGGCACATCCCATCCCGCCCGGCTACACTATCAGGATCATCCTCATCACGTCGCCTCTTTATCGGAGGATGAGCTTCAGCATGATCGTCGATAAGGCTGGCAGGCTCGGTCCAGCAGTAACCTACAGAATAATAAGATATTTTATTATATATTACTAATGTACGTGTTAGCTAAAAATTTTTTAATGATCTTACCATGGTCTCGGCGGGCTCCTCAATATAATCATCCATCTCAGCCATGTCAGTATCGCATAAAGTAGCCTCCGTGACGGGCGAGGATGATGTCTTTAAAAAAAAATAAAAACGCTATAGATATTGATGACTAATCAATGAGATAAAAATAAATATAAATAATAGTAATACAAAAAAACCTGCACCTGTGAAAGATCTTCGGCATCCCTCGATGATGACCCATAACTCAGTCTGCGCCCACTATGCACATCTCGTGTCGGACGATCATCAACAACCCTCGATGGCTCTGGGGGACCAGGAAAGTACTTATCCCACTCTTGTCGCATAATGGTCGTGCCCGCGATCAACAATGGAGCTGACGAGTACACCTGTGAAGTCCCTGGCGTTAGCTGAAGGCTGAATGACGGCATATCATGAGGAGCATTGTCTGGCTCAGGGTGGTCACCCGGATGATCAACTCCAAAATCCTCAACAGGTGGCTCAACGCCCCGTTGTTGGGGACCACGTCCCCACTGACCACCACAACCTCGTGGGACACCTCTTTCTCTCTGGGCACGCCTGCCACGTCGATCACGTTCAGGCTCCACTACTGGCCCAGGATGGTACTGCTCTGGCAGCAGATAATTAGCCTCGTGTCCTAAGCGCTCGTCATCTCGGGCTCGCCTCCATGTCCGGGAAGCCAGATCTGTAACCTGGCAGCCATACTCATGCAAAGCGGCCGCTCCCTCGCCGGTATACTGCTGCATCTGCAGCCCTAACTGGTAGAACAGATGTAAGCCAATAGCCTGCACAACATGTAAAATATTAATTACGGAACGCTTGGTTAACGTTATAAGTAAGTATAACAGATAACATATCAGTGCCTCATACCTCCCGGTGTATGGAATGTACCGACCGCCGGCGTGATGAACGAGATTCCCGATGAAAAGTCGGGTAACGCTGTGGTACCAGACCATATACTCATGCTCACCATCCGTATGCTTTGGTGGAGGGGGTGGCGGAATCAGGTCATGCCAACGGTCCCAAATATCAATCTGCACCTCTAGCCAGGCCACGTATGTCTGGTCAACCTTGGAACGATCATCCCGCTAGCAATGTGTCCTAAGCCAAGCGGGCGGAGTAAGTACAAGCTGGGGTCGACCAAACTGGCGAAGGACTCGCTCAGTGGCATGATGCTCGACAATATCGAGACACATCAACGGGACGAAAGAGCTCCACATAAGTCGGCCGGTCGAGCAATAATCTTGCAAACCAGCTATTAGCTCGTCGTTATATGGCCTCCAAATGAACTATTAAGTAAAAACAGGAATCGTGATTATACGCAACACATATAAAGCCAGGCCAAGTAAACTTAAGTATACATGTACTTGCATGCCCGCCAACAAATCCAACAAATCCCTGCAATAGGGGAGATTATGTCGACCCTCGACCTCGCGTCCGTAGCCTCGCTTATCAACCCACCTCCTAGCTAAAGGGAGAAACGGTGGAGGTGGTGCATCCGGAGAGATGGGTGGTAGAGGTGGCTGCAATTGCAGGAACCGCTCCCAGGCCCAAACCTATACAATGTGGACGTAACATTTAAGGTATATTTTTACTATGTATGTTATAATCATGAAAATAATTGACTATGTTTTCACCTACAGCAACGGCAAAAATCCGGCAATGTCTCGTTGGATGCCCATGCTCGCCCGGCACATCTGCCTATACAAGAGACCAAGAACAGCTGCACCCCAACTGTAACCAGGTAAATCATCTAACTGCTCAAGATGATGAATAAATCTCAAGCTGACTAGGTTTTCCGAAGTGTTCGGGAACAATACCCCTCCAAACATAAGAAGCATCAACAATCTCATGTACCGGTTAATATGAAGATCCGGTGTATCATCCGTAATGTCCGCATGCATCGCCTCCAGATGTAGTCAGACGAGCGTCAACTATAGACGACTAGCCCCAACCAATATAGCCTCCTCCGCTGGCTGGAAACTGGTGAGCCGCTGCAACATCTCCAGGTATTGCAATCCCGTATAATCTCTGAGAGCATACGGTAAAGCTACAGGATGTCCATCAACCGGCAGCCCATACAGAACCTCCACGTCCTGAAGCATGATAGTAGCCTCGCCAATGGGTAAATGAAATGTGTGCGTCTCCGGTCGCCACCGCTCTATCAAAGCCGTGATCAACGATAAATCCAGCTGCAACCGGCCGATCTCAATAATCCTATAGAAACCCGTATCCTGAAGGCATCTGACTATACGTGATTGGAGATGGTGGGCTCTAAGAAAGTCCCACATATCGTCTACTCGTCTAGCATGGAACGTCTGGGCCAATAACTGCCCCTCCCATATGTACGAAGACCTATGCTCGGCCTGTAGCAACAGTAGCTCTAGCGAGGCAGGTCCGGGATCCACATGCGGAACCTCCATGACGATTATTGTAAATTGAACAGTATTAATTAAAGTATATTTTTTTTTCATTGCTTAACATCTTTAATATTTTATATGTTAGTTTACTATTTAATATGTTTGTTTCTTATTTTATATGTTAGTTTATTGTTTTATATGTTAGTTTATTATTTTATATGTTTGTGTGTTACTCACCTATTTTTTACTATAATAAAATTAAAAAAATTAATTTTCATAACTATACAGGATTTAATTATTAAATATTCATATAACAATACTTAGTGTGAGTCCAAATGAACCACATTTTTATTCCGGACTCGATATTTGAAGCCCAGTTGCACCAAGGTATCCAATGTTCTTGTGTTCATGATGAGAAAATTTCTCCAATTTATCACTCAACAGGTCTGTTATTTTATATGTTAGTTTATTATTTTATATGTTTATTTGCTACTCACCTATTTTTTACTATAATAAAATTAAATAATTAATTTTCATAACTATACAGGATTTAATTATTAAATATTCATATAACAATACTTAGTTTGACAACTATTGTTATTTTCTAATGTTATTTTCTTACGTTTGTTGACTAGAATTCGAGAGATTTTGTGTTTGAACTATCAGTTTTTTTCAAATACTTTTGGGTTTAACAGATAATTAAATGATTAATTTCAATAACTACAAAGATACTATGCTAAAGGGCACTACATTTTACTACGCTAAAAGGGCACTACATTACAAATACGAGCACTACATTAGGGCATAAGATTTGGTAAATAAGGTCACATATTCATATATGTACAACAATAACATCTAAATAAGGTTAATTATTCCTAAAATAACAATTTATCTATTTTACTAGTATTTTAGCAAATAAATAATCTAAACCGAATAAAAATAAAAAATTAATTTAATCACAAAACAATAATGAAAAAACATATACCACAGTAAAAATTAACTAATTAACATTTTTTCTAACAACTAATAATAATTTCTCAATTATACTAATTATTTTAGCATACTAATAATATAATCTGGATAAAAAATAACAAATTAATTAAATCGCAAAATAATCACGAAATAACATAGAATACAGTAAAAAATAACTAATAGGCATTTTTTATACATGAGTTTTAACAAAAACTAAGTCGGAATATCTCGATTTTAATTTTCTGAAAACTTGAAGATTTAGTGATTTGGAGCCGAAATGAGCAATCCACTACGAGATAACGCCTTAGCTAGGATGTGAAACCGAGAATCTACACTTTTTGTGGGATCGATGGGCTCCAAGCGAGTTTTTTTACTTAAAANGGGGGGGAGGGGGAGGCGCTGTTGGGAGTTTTTAATTTGGGGGAGGGGGCGTTCTGTTTTGTTTGGGGAAGAAGATGGCCGGCTTATTTGTGTAGGTATAGCGCGCATATATAGAGCGCTATCGTATAGCGCAGTACATATGTGCACTATACCTTTCCGCCCATTTGAGTTCAAGTATAGCGCGGTATTTCACCGCGCTATACCTTAACGGACAAACGTGCAGTTAAGGTATAGTGCGGTGAAATACCGTGCTATATATATTATGGTTCCCAAGTTATTTTTTTTTTTTCTTCATATTTTGATTATTTGAATCCAAAAAAACCACATTTTTGTTTCGAATTCTACGTTAATGAAAGAGCAGCAAACAGTAGTGGTCAAATCCATGAGTTGAAACGGGTAATTCTCATGTGATGTGTCAAAAAAGCAAATGGGCTTTCACAAGAGAACAAGAACAAACTGAAGCGACAGCCAACAGTGGTATCACAAACCACTTTCAAACCAAGATATGGCATTAATCAATCAGTATAAACTATCACCATACGGTTCAAACAATAAACAAAATACCCGGCGAACAGGCGACACGAACTCATGAGTAATAACGTCCAAACAGAGCAAACAACCACAACCAAAGGCCTCAAATTGTTGGAGGAAGGCGCAAGAACAAGTGGCCGCAAAATACAGAGGTCGCCGGAAAGATAAGGTTTCATGTTTCTCTAGATCTTAGCTTCATTATCAAAGGCCAGCGGCGCTACTTCAACAGCGATGTCACCGGAATAGCACCAGCAACATCAAGAGAACATGACTTCGCCAGAGTCGACCGAAAAACACAGATCCGGTCAGATCTGTTTGCGTTCGAACAAATATAATTATTTTCGTCGGGTTTTGAGCAAAGCCATTAAGGAACAAACATGGGGGAAAAGAGAGGGGGAGATGAGAGAAGGGGTGAAGTCATGGCCGTCGCCGGTCATCACCTCCAGTGACGACAACCATGGAGAAGGCGCAAGCTTTGTCTCTCAAGGTTGAGGGAAAACAGATGAAAAATAAAGGGGGAAGCAGCTGTCTATTGAGAAGTGAGGGTGAGAGACAAAGGGGAGTCACCAAAAATGGAGATGCGACTGTTCTCTCTTGGAGTTGAGAGAGTCCCTTTTTGAGATAGGAGGCGGCTGAAGGCTACTAGACTCACATCAATGTAATATCATATCACATGACATGTCACATCAGTGTCATGGCGCGTCAATGTCTAGTCACATCAAATATCTTATCAAACAGATATTGACAGAACATTGAATTTGATCGGACTTGATCCGTATTTTAAAATTAATTCCACTGTCTTTCATATAATTACTAGACTGTGCTGTGAATTAAAATATAATTATTTAATTAGAATGTTTTGTAGTATTTACTCAAAAATATAACTACTACAATCGTATCGTAGTAATTATTATTTTATTTTTAAAAAGACAATAAACCGATAGAATATCCTAATGTTGAAAAATAGGACCGTTATAAATAAGTCTCTTAAAATTTAGAAAACCGCACAATAACGGTAGTATTTAACTAATTGCAATTAAATGATAAAAATTCTCATATTTTGTAAAAAAAAAAGAGTAATTATCAATAAATTGCATTAAAGCTAAATAATATACAAAAAAACTATATTTTTATCATTTTTTACTAGGACGCCTGTAGAAGTCAATTTTTAAAATACGAAGGGTCAAAATTGACTGTCAACGGTGATTATTCACGGGGATGGAAGTAACCCTATATAAACCAACCAGATTGTGTAAGCTATCAAGAACAAGAGGAAATTGGGAGGAGAAACATACCACAACATTGGGCCAATAAACGCAATTGAGAAGGGTCGATGGTAGAGCAATAATATAGAGAGCATACTGATGTGGTTGGGGTATGAACCAGGCAAGGGTCTTGGCCCAAAACTTCAAGGGATTACGGAACCAATACGACCACAATATCGTGGCATAACCTTTGGTCTCAGGTATGAATATACCGTGCAAGAATATCAAGATTAGACACCGATGTGGCTTGCCTCTTACTATTTATTGGAACAACCCATACCACACGCTGCACCAGACATTCTACGAGACTGATGTAATTTAGGGATCCGAGGAAGACGAAGTTTTGGCCGGTATGAGGAAGCTGTTTCTGGACGAGGAAGATATGGACTGCAGTGCAATCTTGGAGGAGGAGGAAGACCTTACCATTCACACAGTAGGAGAATGAGTTATTCTTAAGAACTGGACTGCTGCACCATCCCGGGCTCACCGAGTACCTGGGTAGCCTTGGCAGAATTAGCATGATTTATTTTAAAATTGTTTTTGAGCATTTAAGACATTTTCAGTATTTTGTTTTGAAATAATTTCTCGAGACATCGAGTCGTACTTGTTGACAATTTTAAGTTTTATTAATGCATTATTGTTTTTCATTTATTTATTATTATCTTTCTATATTCTTTTCAGCGTAATTATTACATATCCTGATGAACCTACGACTGTGACATGTAAGTGAGACAATGCAACATAAGGAAAGAGATTCGGATGACTTGGAAGATGATATAATACCTGAGGAAATTGTCAAAAAGGTAGAGAATTTTGAGAACAACCCAAAGTCCAATTTGGAAGAAATTGAGGCAGTTAACTTAGGAGATTCTAAAACAGTCAAAGAAACTCGTATTAGCATTCATCTATCGCCATCAGAGAAGGAATAGTACATCAGATTTCTAAAGGAATATGAGGATATTTTTGCATGGTCCTAAGACGACATGACTGGGTTAAGCATGCCCATAGTAGCTCACAAGCTACCTACTAACCCCATGTGTCCGTCGGTAAAGCAGAAGCTTAGGAAATTCAAGCCAGATATGAGTCTGAAGATAAATTAAAAGGTTACCAAGCAGTTCAAAGCCAAGGCCCTTCGAGTGGTCGAGTACCCAACCTGGCTAGCCAACATTGTGCCGGTTCCAAAGAAAGCTGGAAAAGTCAGAGTGTGCATTGACTATCGAGATCTGAACAGAGCAAGTCCTAGGGAT